ATGGCAACTAGAGGATCCCTAACATGTTTCTCTAATCTCACTCCTCCCCGTAGCGCTGCAGGGTAACATCCAGCATTTGCTTATTGTGGAAAACACAGAGGCTGTATCATCAGGCTATATCATAAACTAATCAGCGTTATTGGAAAGAGCTTTTTGATCGGGCTGTGTTGAAGATAAATTGATGGTTCGTGCTCAATATGCTAAAGATGTGATTATGATCTGACCTGAAACACACACTTGTCATCCAGGAGAGGATATTTATGTGACAGTGTCTATAAATTCAGGTGATTATTGTGGAAAAGGCTCTGAACAAAAGCATGCTCACAGAACTTTACTCTTTGAAGCCTGAAAATGTAGGCTTAAGTAGGTATAATATTTCAATACAAAAACATATTACATATGCTTATTTGCTTAATAAATACAATAGATTAATATCTCTCTAATGTCAGTCTGTTAAGCTACAGCCAAGTAAAGCTAAGTCAGGCTAAAGCTGTTAGCTTAGCTTGACTGAAAACAGGGGGACACAGTTAGCAGCCGGATGGCTTAGCTTTTATGAAAGTAGAGGGACACAGCTAGTAGGTTGAAAACAAGGGACAACACCTAGCAGCCAGTTAGCTTAGCTTGACTAAAAACAAGGGGCCACAGCTAGCGGTCGGTTGCTTAGCTTGACTGAAAACAGGACACAGTTGGGAGCCAGTAGGCTTAGTTTGTGCTAAGCTAACTGGGGGGATACAGCTAATTGGCTCTGTCCAAAAAAAAAAACAGCAAAATTAGCCAACCAGAACCTCTTAAAGCTCACAAATTAACACGTTATATGTTGTTTATTTCATCTTTACTAGAGCAGCCAGGCTAGCTGTTTCCACCCGTTTCCAGGCTTTGTGCTCAGTTAACCATCTGCTTTAGCTGCATAGTTAGCATAGAAATATGAGTGGCATCAAACTTCTCATCTAACTCTCTGCAAGAAAAGCAAATAAGGATAGCCCTCCTAAAGCTCCCAAGTTGCAATCAATCAGGAAAAAGAAAAGAGTTGTCTCTCTTGAATGTGTTCCAGTGAGTTGCAACAACACTGAATTTGTGGTAATAAATCACAGCGTTTAAAAAAAATCATTAACTCAGCTTGAAAACATTATGCAAGCCAGGATGGGGAGGGAGAGAGCAAAGGTTGAAAATAAAAGATAAAGAGAATTTACGCATAAAAATCTTTTAACAAGGTTTGAAAATCGGTTTGGAGAATGTGGGTAGAGTAAAGCCCAAAACCAGGCAGGACGTTCAAACCTGACTAGTCTAAAGAAATGCTGTACAAGGAGGGGAAAAGTGAGGGAAAGGGGGCAGGCAGGGTGGGAGAGAGGAAACAGGAGGCTAAGTGGGTTTCCCACTGGGAGCCAAAAATAGAGATAACAAACCTCAAATATTGTTCATGTATTAACTCCTAAAGGCCTAAACAAAGAGTAGAAGTCTGTTCTGCAGGTTTGTAACCTCAGATCAGTTCCTTATGGTAAAGTCAATCTGCTGATGTGATCAAAAGCTCTGTAACATCTACTAAATGTTGAGATTGTTTAGTCAACAATTAGCATTTGTGCCAAAACCGAACCTAAACAAACCGTAATCATTCGTCCAGATGTCAAATCAGCAAGCAGTCACATGTATTATTTTTGTAACGGCCATTTTGGAACGTGTTAACTCGTCGGTTTGACTTCAGTCTTTTTGGTCCGAGTTGTTCTTGATAATCTAATTGCAACATAATTGGAATTCTTCATAACGGCGTTATCGCGTCGGGGAGCCGAAACATTTAATATCTCGACAGCGGACGTGTTTGTTTTACATCAGCGCAAACAAGCTGATAATCTTCTATGTTTTTCTGTCTCGTTTTTATCTGTCTGAATTTGTCTCCCTTTCGACAGCAGCTATCTTCTGTCTGTCCTCTTCCTCCCTGTTTCTGTCAGACACTTTAACACGGAGACATTATGATGCATTTCCTTTTTCATTCATTTTAGTTTTACTTCATAAAGTCTTAGATCTTATTTTCTCTCTCTCTTCTCTCTCTCTTGGTTTGAGGTCTTGACTTTAACTTCCTGCCGCATCTTACAGATAACAGAATTAAGGCCTTAACACACACACACACACACACACACACACACGCACACACAGCTGGTTTACGTCCTCCACACTGCTGTTGTTGATGAAGTACTTTCCAATAGCGGTCACCAGAACAAGAGCCCGCGTGTTTGCGTTTGGTTGCTTCGGGTGTGTTGCTGTTGATGAGTCAACTAGACTAGAGATTCTGCTATATTTAGCATGTTAGTTAAATGTGTCTAAGGAAGTTCACCAACAGCACACCGACTCATAGACCGCCATTACAGAAGAGACGTCTGAATAACAGCTAACAACACCCCTTTGCTCAGTTATTGCTCTTTGCATTGTGAGTTCTTAAACTATGAATGTTTGATCGTTGCGAATTTTTACTTCAGAGCCTAGAAAAACGATTTTGTTCGTTGCTCATTAACTTGAGTATACTTAAGAACATACAGTTGCATCATTAGCAAAAGAGAGTGTTTTTGTACCAGCCAGGAAGTCAGTGTCGCCATGGTCCCCTCCATAAAAAGGCCGAAGGGATTTCTTAGTTTGATTTTGATTAACACGCTGAATAATTTCGTGGGATATCTACGAACTACGGGACATTATTAGGCATAGAATGCTGGATGAGGCCAGCCTGAGCTCGAACATTCCCCTATTAGTCAAAGATCTGCTCTGATGAAGGTTTGAAGACTGAAGGCTTTTCATCTGCATGTTTTTCTTTCTCACGATTTGATGTTTTTGGCCTTCGTGCACCTTCACAAGGTTCCGTGTCTAGACTGCATGACACAGACTGTCGAGTTAGATTACGCTGCACAACTGGATGTTTAATTACGACGAGGAAGTTATTTATTTTGAAACAGAACCCAAGAGTTACTTCGGCTCTCTTTTTCTCCTCATACCGAAAAAGGGAACACTTAGTGGAAGCTCCATTTTCTGAAATCTTGCCTATTAAATGTCACATTAACTCTTCGTCCATCACATAAAACTTAACTTTTAAAGAGAGAAAACTAAATGGGGAGGCAGGAACACTTGATCCAGTGGCACACAGGAAGGAGGTCTTCAAGACTGACATGACGTGTGTTTGTGTGTGGGAAGGAAAGTTGGGGTCTCAAAAGAAAACACGAGAGGAAATTATACTTAAAGGAGCTAAAAATGATGGGAAAATCTCTTGTGTTGTCACGATGCATCAAAATGTCATCTCAGACTTTTTGTCTCGACACACAGCGAGCGAGACGACGGGCTTAATCCTCAAACCTTTTTGTTTTTTTCCAGCCCTGCTGCTTATTTAAAGGGCAAAGGGGCAGAAGGGGTCACCGGTCGGGGTCAGCAGACAATTTTTTTTTCTAAGTGTGTGTTAAAAGGGTTCGAGTGGCAGCTCAGTGACCGAGAAAGAAATTCCAAATGCTGAGGAATTCTGTCTTCACTGGGAATTTTGTGTGTGTCAGTGAGTGGAGAAGGTCATGAGAACAGCAGAAGAACACAAACACACACTTCACAACTTCTTTCAGATACTTCACAAACCTTTACAGACATAGAACAGACTTTATTTAACAACTCCATCCACGGTTTAGGATTCTGACCCCTGAACGCTGCACTAAATTCTGGATTTATTCTGCTGTTTTTTCCTGCAAGTGTTGAAATTCGACATCTCTTGGTACCAAGAAGCTGTGACTCGCCCACAGATTCCTTCTTGTTGGAAATAAAAAGGCCTCTTGAGCAACATTAAGTCCACAGAACACGAACACCTTCCTTTTTAAAACAAAGCAACACTAGAAGTGAAATACTCCTCAGACTGCGAGACAGTTTGTGTTCTGCGGGCTGAGCAATAGTGGAAACGTTTACGTTGTCACAATTAAAGGCAATCTAGGGCTCGTAAAGTAAAGTACGTCGTGTGTTGGAGATTTTTGGTGATGAATTTAGGGGTTTAAAATAAACCTAACTACAGCTCCTGTAACTTCAGTGAAACATTAATGGAGTTAAAACACACAAACGACTGCTGAGTATGGAAGTCTACAGCTGACATTATTAAAATAGTTTTTTCTGTTGTGTGCATGTTGTGTCACGAAATAATATAAAACCTCTAAAATAAAATAAAATGTTCAATTTTAATGTTTTAAAATGAAATGCAGGCCAAATTAAAAGAAATTCTGATTTATAATAAATCGGACACATCAGTTTTCTTCAGCCTGTATTTGTTTACATTTTGGCAAATTGGCACCATTAAAAGCAGCTGAATTAATTCCAACTTCTTTAAAGGATTGTATTTTATTCTTGGCAGCCATTGACTTCCACAGTTATCAGGCGTTTGTCCTCGCTTTGTTTGGAGAGGAGAGGCCTCCCTCCCGGCTGTCAGATGTCAGCATCTGTGGCGGCGTAAAAGCCTCGAACGCTTGTGTTTTGGGGTCATTTCCTGTTTCGGTTCAGACTACTTTTATTAATTAGTCTGCAGTCTGCAGGACGGACACTTGCATTGCATTTATTTGGATATCAGCAAAGTTGAAATCCGTTGTTGATCCCACATGGATTAACCCCTTGAACCAAATTAAATTAAATTGTCTTTTGAGCATCATTTTGTGGCAGAATAAAGGAACCGGTGGTAAAATAAGACTCTCATAACATTTTCTTTCATTTAATTGTCTTGTCTTTGGCATTAAATTAGCTTTTCATCCTATAAAAGTGATCTTTCAGCCTCTTCAGAGCTGAGACTTGAATCTGTTTACAGTGAAGTTTTTTACGGACTCGCTCGCTGTGCTCTTTGGTAAACACGGCAAGTTTCTGACACAACACGAGCTGTTTGCTCAGCAGTCTGTGACATGTTCACTTTCACGAGCTCCGTCCAAAACACAGAGAAGAGCTTAGTTTGCAGAAAGCTCCATTCAGTCTTTACTACGCTTTGATCGCTGCAGAACTCTTCCGTTTTTTCTTCATCGATTTTCCACGGAAGCTCTTGTTGCTTTTGGTCCCGTGCTGCGATCAAAGAGTCGTGGACGACTTGGCTTTGGAGGAGAGGACCTGTCTGAACCTCCTCTTCAGCTCCTGCATGTTGGGAGATTTGGGTCTGGCCAGGTGGAGGCCTCCTCTTCGTTTCTCCCCGTTCCCTCCTCCCAGCGCCCGGATCACCTGGAACACAGAGACCACGGTGACTCGCTGGAATGAACGACAGCTGACTTTTTTATTTTTTATTTATTTTCATTGTATGTCTGTATTTATGACTTTTATTTATTTTGTGAAGCACTTTGTGACGTCCTGCCCTTGAAAGGTACTTTAGAAATAAAGTTACTTAACTTGAGGGAAAGTCAAGTCAGTCAGAACATTTTATTAAGAATAAACATTTTCTACAATTTTAGCGTCTGGAGCCAAACAATTGTCTTAAATCTTAAAATTGTCAATGAAATATTAAAAACATAACATTACTATGCTGTTCTACTTGATATCCTTTGTTTATATTATCGGGGATTTTCCATTACAGCCATATTATTTACAATAACAGCGGTATCATTTATATATTGTTTTGTTACAACTAATTAAAGGTATGTAAGGTGTGAAAAATTAAAAAGTACATTTTAAATCTGTATTTAAATATATTTTCAAAGATCAACCTTTTTCAAACACAGCACAACTGTTTAACGTCATGTTTTTGGGCACCAGATGAACTTAAATCCAATTTTAAACTCTGCTTTTAGCTCTGTTTTGGTCTCCACCGACTCCTGAGGGAAATATCTGGCTCTTTAGCGGCTAAATGCTCCAGTTTGTTCACCATATTTCTCTGTTTTCTGTTTGATGCTATGAGTGTAGTGATCAGTTAGCTTATTCAACTTTTTTTTGTTGTTGCTTAAATCCGCTGCCGGCCGTGGTTAAAATCCAGAGCCAGAAAACCAAAACAATGAGCTGAAAGATGCTAAAGAACTACGGGGAGCTGCACAACCTTGGGCTACTGTTAATATAAATAATATTGATTATTGCAGCTTTAAAAGCACCAGATTATCTGCTCTCTTGAACACCAGTAATGAGCCTCTGAGAAAAACTCCTACTGCTCCGCCAGAAAAGCAAATATACAGATCAGACCAATATAGGCTGGTGAACCTCTTTCTGACTAAAAATACAAACATGGTATTTTTATATTCTTTCTCTGGGCACCAGAGGGAAATAGCCTGTGCACTCATAATTCCCACAGGAAGTGAAAATCCCTTAAAGTTTGTTGGATTTAAAGTGAATAACGTCCTGAAATCTGCCAAGAAGAGAAGCTTCAACTGTCCGATTAAAGAAACCGATATAGAAAACAACCAAAGAAGGTCCCACCTCGTGACAGAGATGGAGGAAGGTGGCGTGGACTCCCTCGTGGTTCTCTCTGGCCGAGGCCTCAAAGTAAACTCCTCCTGAGAGCAGAGGCAGTGTTATCTTTCAGATAACAACCGGCATTCCTCGTCCGTTAGGCAGCATGCAGGATATAGTTCACGTTTAAGCAGACGTGTGTGTGTGTGTGTGTGTCATAATTGGACGGTTCATTTAGAGCTTGAATCCGCCAGATGTTTTTTTACAAATTGGCCACTGTGGGGAAAGTCCATTTAAAGTGTTTTGGTGGCATTTTTGCAGTTCTCTGATGAAGTTTCTGCACAAAAACAAAAGATCTTCAAGCTTGGAGTAGAATGAAGGGAAGGGAGGTGGAGAAAGAAGAAGAAGAGGAACAGCAAAGAGGAGGAAAAAGTAGAAAAAAGGGAGTAAAAAGAAAAGGAAAAAACAAAGATGAGGAGGAGGAACAACAACAACAACAAAGTGGAGGAGGAAGTATAAGAGTGAAGAGGAAAAAAGGAGAAGGAAGAGAAGAAGAAGAAATATGAACAAAGAGGAGAAGGAAAAAGTTGACGAACAAGAAGAAAGAAAAAGAAGAAGAAGAAGAAGAGGAGGAGGGATGATGAGGATGACGAAGCCCCACCTAGCGAAGCTGCTAACGTCTCTCCTTCGTCTGCTGGCACTTGTCTGGCTCTGAGCAGGTCGCTCTTGTTTCCGACCTGCAGCAGATTACAGATTACAGGACAGATTGGATCAAAGGGGATTAGGGTCAGCAGGTGACTGTGTTCTCTCATTGCTGCCATGTTTCTCTACCTTGATTAAACTCTATATATTAGACTCTGTACACCCACTAACCAGGATAACCGGTATGTTTCCAGAGGGGTGTATGCGTCGGACGTGCTGGTACAGCGGCTGGATGGTTCGGTAGCTGTTGTGGTCCGTGATGGAGAAAACCAGCACGTAGCCGTCTGCCCAGTAGATCGATCTGGGAGAGTTATTGAACAGTTATTATCGGCAGCATTATTCCTTTTACTGGTTTAATTCACATTGAAGTAAATGGATCCGACCTGTTGATCTGCTCCTGGCAGTACAAGCCCTCAGCATCGTCCTGGAAACAGAAACATCACGGAATCAAAGAACCTGTTGATTCACTTTATGAACAATAAATCCATCATTTTGTTTATAAAATGTAAACAATTTTGACATACTTGCACTTTACTTTGGCCGTGTATTTCCATTTTGTGCTACTTTTCCACTACGAATCAATGGGAAGTATTGTAGTTTTTTACAACATATGATATTATACGACTAATCTACCCAGTGCAGTATCTAAAACGAGCTCCACATTGACGAACTACAACAGAAAATGCTCGTACATGTATTCATAAGTGATAATTTTCTATGATGATGTAGCCACACCTTTGATACCTTAAGTACATTGTGTTGTTATTTTACTTCAGTAACATTTAGAATTCAGGACTTTTACTTGTAATGGCGTATTTTTAGAGCGTGATATTTCTTAAAAACCCAAAATATATTCAACATACAATGATATAAAACAGAGAAAAGAAGCAAATCCTCAAATTTGAAAAGATTAAACCAACAAATGTTTTTTTCCCCTTTTATTTATAACTTTAAGTAATAATTAAAGTTATTATAAATCATAGTTTCAGTACTTGAAATGAATGAAATGCTTTAAAGATGTTTTCCGTTGTCGGAGACCGAAGTGGCTTCATATTTTAAAACACTTCCTCATTCCTCATCCCAGCGAGGGACCGATAGTCCAGACTGCTCAGCAGAAAACCTCCATCATCTGTGAAAGAACTGGTTTAAAAATAACCCGTGATTATTGGTGCGATGATTGCTGCATTCCCAGTGAGACAACACCATCTTCTCCTAAACTCAACTGCCTAAACGTGGAGGAAAAAAAAGGAAAGAGCGGCTTAAAGTGAGTTAGCAGGTGGTGATTTCACTAAAAGAGGCACAATGCCAAGACAAATGGCTGTTTATGGACACACACCAGCTGTTTGAATTTACGACTCCCGACCCACCAGAACACCCAGTTGTCAGTTCGGAGATAATTAGACTTTAGTTTGGGCAGATTCTTATTCTTATAATTACCAAGAAAAAACATATTTTCTGCAATCAAGAGGTGAAGATGAGTTCAGTTGCCTCACGCAGCTTCTAACAATCTTCCAGAAGCTCGGTAACTTCTCGACCTCTCTGCCTCCTCACATTAATTACTTCTAATCTCTGGGAGCCGGTCGCCATCGTCCTCCGTCCTGCCAGGAGAGACTTCCTCACCCTCCGTTATCTCCCCCCCCCCGGTGGAGGGAGGAAATAAGCAGCCCAGAATTCTAGTATTTTTTCTTTTGTAAACAGACTTCCGGTGTGCAGAAGTGTGAGCCGTGTGGCACGTTGCGCTCATTATCCTGGAGGAGATAGTCCGAAGGTCACTTCCTCTCGCTCCAAACACATTCCTGGAATTACTTTCAAGATAATAAAAAAGGCAGATTTTGACGAGTTCAACTTCTAGATCATTAAGCAACAACGTCGAACAAAGATCTCGGCTTTTTGAACGTTTCAACCAGGCGGCATCCTCCGGTTCTGTAGACTGAAACCAATGAGGGAGAGTGTTAAACCTGCATTCTCTCTAGTGTCCACCAGGGGGCGACTTCTCTGGTTGTATAGAAGTCTATGAGAAAATGACTCTACTTCTCTCTTGATTTATTACCTCAGTAAACATTGTAAACATGAGTTTATGGTCTCAATCTCTAGTTGCAAGTCTTCTTCAATACAGCATGATGTTCATTTAGTACATTATGGTCCATTTAGAGTCACACAGACCATAAAGCAGGGGATGCTTTAGGGCGGGGCTACTGTGATTGACAGGTCTCTATCAGCGACGTACACGGCGTCTCTACGTCACTCCTCCTCAATCCTAATACGGTCACTTCCTGTTCACTGGTTGCAAAAAACCAAGATGGCGACGGCCAAATTGCCGAACTCAAGGCTTCAAAACATCCACAAACCAATGGGTGACGTTGCAACAACTACATCCACCTCTTATATACAGTCTGTGGTTTTAACTCATCAGTTATAGATGCAAATGCAAATATTTCAAGTCCTGCTGTAAATGCAGAACTTGGTTTATAATACAGATTCAACCAATGACTAAAAGTGTAAATACAGTACATTTAAATGGGGACAACATCTTAAAGATATTGTTTTGTTGGGAGTTTTATGGCACTGTGCCATCAACAAGTGAGTCTGTAACTGAAATCCATTCAAAGAACCCAGTGACCGAATCATGCAGCAGGATTTTTAATTAACCCAGATGTTTTCTGATTTTGAGGTGACAACCTGGAGAAATTGGTCGGTGAATTGAAAACGTGACATTTTAGTGTTTTAAGATATTTGTCGGGACTCGAGACACCCAGTTTGAATCTGGAACAAACCAAACGCACTGTGACATCTGGTCACCATGTGCGAAAAGCCTAAATCTCACTGTTTCAAAAGCATCTCAAATGAATTTAGCTGTAATGATATGAAGCCTTTAATGATCATCCACCTACAAATAGAAAAAAAATCAAACAAATACATCTAACTATTGCATATTGATGGACAGAACGCACAAGAAAAAAAGGTTATTTTATGCTAAAAATCGAACTATTTAGACATGCTGAGGACAAAATGTTGTTGAGGAAAATAAATGCACGTTTTGGCACAACGCCAACCAAAGTGTTTGACCGCTAAATGATGTTTGAGCGGTGCGGTAATGAGCAGCACCAAACTAAATTCTAACTTTTTCTGCTCCAAGTTGGACGCCAACATGTCTAAGAAGGAAAAGCCAGAAGAAGAAGCATTTTTGTTACATCTTCTGTAAACAGAGATGGTTTCCTGTCAACATTAATGCGATACCTGTTTCCATCACCTTTTAAAGGGACAGTGTGTAAGAACTACGGTGGCCTACGGGGAGAGAAAGGTACCTTTAGGAAATGTAGTACAACTAGGAGCTACTCTCATCAATACTCAGTTCTTCTACATGACTAAATAATTGAAACACAAAAGCTTATGGGCGATCGTTTAAACTGTGCTTGTGTAAACACAGGGGCGGTGTCCGACTGAATTAGGTTTCACTTTCTTTTACATGTTCACAGATGTATTTAGTACCTGGTTTTGGAACGCATCCCTACATTCAGTTAACGTAAAAGACTCTCATAGAGCCAGAGTCTGTTCTGGGCGGCTGTAGAAACATGGCGGTGCAAGATGGCGGACTCCGTGGAAAAGGCTACGTCGATATCATGGCTTTTTCTAAGCTTAGAAAAACATAACGATTCTTAGTTTCTGATTAAAACATAATTATGAATATTATATTCAATTTCTGCCAATAAAACCTCCATTAAACGCCTAACATCTTCATAAACGGAAGCAAAAAAGCGCTCCAGATGTTCTATTCATGATGCAACAAGAAGACTCTGGGACTCTCTGCCTCCATCGGTTTACCTGGAGAGCGACGCAGGGAGTGTCCTGGATCTGAAGCGACACTTCCTCCCCATCCAGCGTGACCTTTCTGGAGTAGAGCGCTCCTGGGGAGAATGAAAGGGACGGGATGAATGGATGTGATGGATAAACGGATCAATAGTCGGGGACTTCTGCGGAGGGGGAAATGCATTTATTTCTGCTGCTTACTTTGACAAACGTTACTAGTGTTATTTCAGACCAAAACGGGCGGAGAACTCACCAGTGTTTGCTTCGTAATCCCCGATGAACCGCTTAGTCAGAAACCTGACAATCAGAGCTGAAAAAGAAAACGACAAAACTCAAGATTATTTATGGCGATTTTCTAAATTTCTGTCACAGAGTGCATGAAGTAAAAAAATGTATCTTAATTCTCAAAGTTCTTGTACTTGGAATAAGAAAGATATTTAAGAAAGACTACCCTTCTGCAACCTACTGACCTATGTTACACTTAAACTGTTGCAGGTGTTGCAGGAATTTTCTCTTTTCTGTGGCACATTTTTAGATTCTGAAAAAGTTGACAGCAGAGGGACGAGCCGAGCAAACAGGGACGAGCCGAACAAACAGGCCCAAATTCTGAAGTGAGAAGATGATTCACCAATACTAGGAATCTGATGTCGCAATCCTCCGTGCGTCATCTTTGTATTGGTGAATGGTTGTCTCATGCATCTCTTGTTTTTTATAAATCTCGCTGACGTTTTGTGAAGCCAGTTTCATTTTGGAAGAAGCTTTTGTTTCCTGTTTGTATTAAAGGATAACTCCCGACGATACGATACTAAAGTGCTGCACTTTTGTAAAGTTGTGAGACTCACAAGCGGCGGTTTCCCTACATTTCCCATCATGCAACCTGGTACCTTCTTTCGGTGAAACCTTCCCCGTCTTACTAACTTTACACCTCCGGTTTGTAATGCAGGCTTTCCGCTGGTAATTTGTCCTCTCTGTGATGACCCCGATGACATCACCATGACATCATCGGGGTCGTTTTTTAAGACTCCCACCAGTCAGAAGAATAATTTATACACCAATGAATGTATTCTGAAAACCCTCAACACGATCTAAAGTTATTAAAATCTAAAGTGAACTGGAATAATATATCCTCATTATTTTACCCTGTTTAGCATTTGTTTTGACTGAACTTTTGTTGAATATTTGCTATTTCTCATTTTATTATAATCTCATATTTTGTCCCCGTACTATTCTACCTTTAAAGGAAAAGAGAAATGTTGTACTTTATACGCCACTACAACTTGTTACTGTTACAATTAGGATTGAACATAAACAATATATGATTAATTATATGAAATATGATTATTGCAACAGATTGAACTACTTTAAAGAATATAAAAAGTTAAAAGTGACACAGACAACACTCTGAAAGGTGTCATTCTGCAAACAAGTGAAACTTTAAGTGCATTTTATTATACTGTCAAACAAGTAAAATAATGCAAGCAGGACTTTTATGTATAATTAAGTATTGTTATATTATTTTAATTGATCTGAATACTTCTTCCACCACTGATTATAATGAATAAAAGTTAACAAATTAAATATAAAAAGGAGCAATATTTGAAAAATGGTTATAACGCAGAATGTCGCCCCCTGTCGTTCAGGTTTGGTAATTTATGTCAAACCGTTCCACTACTTTCCTTATATTCCTCCTCTAGTAGACAAACATATCTCAAATATGTATTCCTAACAATAACAAAGCTGCATGATGAGTGGTTGAATGTGTTATTATTTGTTATACATCACACTATTGAGATGCATTCGATCTCAGCCCCCTTTCCCCATTTTGAATCCCTACAAGGCAACTTCAGTTCATGTGAGAAAGAAAGAATAAAAACTTCCCTCATTCCGCTGACTGTTTCTATGTTTCCCTTCCTGTGACCTGAACCTACAACTCTCCCGTTAATCCGTACCGGTTTTCCCGACGTTGCTCGCCCCGAGCACCACAATCTTCACCGTCTTGTTGGGCACACAGTCCAGCAGAGGATACTCCGGTATGGGGACCAGCAGAAAGTTGCCCGACCCGCTGCTGCTGTTCATGGTCGCCGGTGCAGGGTCGCCAGACAGCCGCATTTAGATCCCCTCTGCTCTCAGATCAGCTTCTGCTCAATGTGGGAAGAAAAAAAATCACTCCAGTATTCCCATAATATTCCTGCAGGAACAGCGTGGAGAGCTCCGGATCCCCAGATGTGTCCTGCTGTTTATTCTTGGTAGTTTATTATGCAGAAAAAAATGTTGGGTTTCCTCTCTGGTAAAGGTGTAAAATCCCCAAATATTTCCCAAGATCCCTGCTGCGGTTCAGGGTTTTCCACCAACTGAGTTCAAAGAAAAACTTTCAACAACGAGAAGTCATCAGCAGAACACTAAACATCACAACTCAGTGAATGTGATGTTTAAATGTAAGATGCATAAATGAATGCATTACAACAAAAAGAAGTAATCCGGTTTGCACAGATTCCTGATCATACTGACTGCAGAGAGAGAGAGGGAGGGAGGGAGGGGGAGACAGAGAGACAGAGAGAGAGAGAGAGAGAGAGAGAGAGACTCTGATCCATCCCCTCTAATATTCCCGTGAGACCAGACTAAATTGAGCTCCTCTTTCCAGCCTGGACTCAGACATCATTGCGGGCAAACACGGAAATGAAGGTTTATGATAATAAAGCTGCCAGACATATTAGACAAAGATCAGACTGTAGGTTTTATTAAACTTAAATTCAGTAGAAAAATAATAAATTAAATATTGAATGTAAGCATCATTCACGCTAGGAAAATAATAAATAAATATATACATGAATACAAATATTAATTTAATTGATTAATCAAATAAATATTTATATATATATATATATATATATATATATATATTATTATTTATTTTATTTTTATTTTTTTATAATATATTAATATTAAAGAATATATATAATAATAAATCATGACTTAAAAAGTAAGGAACAGAAACTATTTCCTTGCATGAATACTACATAACAAGTAAATTCAGAATTTAACATGTGACTTCAGTAAAAATACAAACGTATCAGCATCGAAATATACTTAAAGTAACCTATTAAAGTAAAATAACTCACTATGGAGAGTGGCCAATGGATTCACTTTTATGTGGCAGCTTGTAGGGGTGGAGACAATTATATTTACTGCTGGGTATCTTGTTAATTCCTTAATAAAGTTTTATGTTATCATATGGTGGTATTTGAAAGATTATCTCGTGGCCCCAAGACAAAGTTTGGTGTAATATTGTTGGAGTAAGACCTAAATGTTGATCGAAGCACCGCCCGCTGATTCTAGCCCCCGTGACTACAATCGAACGCACTAAAGAGCTCCTGATTTGAGCGTCGGCGACACTCCCTCTAAGCTTCCCTCCGGGAGGAAGCTGGCAGATACGTTGAGTAATACCGGAAGCTACGTGTATTTTTTCAAAATAAGATAAACAACAAATAGATATTTATACTTCTTCTCTACTACATTTTAGAGGTAAATATTGTACCTTTTACTCCACTAGCTTTAGTTACAAGTCACTTTCTAGATTTAGAACATTAATACAAAATATAAATTCACAAATATATTATGGTATATCATTATAGGATAAGCTACCCAGCAGTTTATAAAGTAATTAACAATTAGCTCAAGTGATGACCACATTAATGGAACAATAACTGTAATATAATAATATAATATATTTACTTCTGAAAAGGGCCATTTTGCATAAAGAGTACTTTTTATTTTTGGTACTTTGATGCTCATACCTTTGTACCTTTACTTTTGATAGCAGGACCTTTTACTTGTAAAAAGGTATTTTTACACAAAATGATTGCTACTTTTACATAAATATAAGATTGTAATACTTCTTCCATCAACATTAGCCAACGTTGATTCTAAACGTTGAGAGCAACGTGTAAACCGGAGTCAAATTCCATGTTTTTTTTTTTTCCAGTTGTCGTCTTATTTTGAAATACAATACCGGAAGTCGCGTGTGCTACCCTGTAACAGCACCAGAAGGTAGTTCCGGCTCTTCTCCCGGAACTCTGCAGCCGCATCGGCTCTGATAATTTCCACATCGGGGGTTCGGTCCAACATGGCGGCTTACGGATGGAAATACTGATGACAGTCCGAAAGATCGCCTCGATTTGTACGATGGTAAGCAGACGATATTCGGCTTTAAATTACGGTATTTCTGCGCCTCTGGTCGCGGTGAGCCAGGACAGCTAGAGCTAAAGCTAGCGGCTATGTTAGCTTGTTTGCTAACACCACAGACCAACAGGATGCTAATAACACAAACAGGGTTCCCAGAAAGTTGTAGCCTGTTAGCTAACAGTTAGCTCTCCAGCTACACGGAGAGGCTGGTTTAAGTTTAACAAATAAAACGGGTGTTATTAAGTGTAAACAGAAGCTTGTTTGACAGTTTATCTATAGCCATCTTTGTAGTTTGTTTACGCGAGAAGGGCAGGGTCGAAAACTAGTTAGCATTAGCCTGCTAGCTTAAGATAATAATAATAATAACAATAATCTTTTATTCGTCCGGAAGTGGGGAAATTTACATAAAAAGTAATAATTAATGGTAGCCAAAAACAGCAGCCACTGCTGGGACATTAGGACAAAAGTTGTGTTGCCCACACAGATGAAAATATGTGCCCTTTTATTACAACAATTACTTATTTTTTAAAATAGCTGTTGCACCTAAAAGAGGAACAACGATTTGTATGGTCAGCGGATGTAAACAACCACAGTTGGATGACATTGATATCTGTTATAATCTGTATTAACTGATTCAGTTCAGCATTTCCTGTCATGGGACGAACCGTGAACGTCTCATCTGGACCCCTGTCTCTCTCTCTCTCTGTCTCTCTGTCTCTCTCTCTGTCTGTCTCTCTCTCTCTGTCTCTCTGTCTCTCTCTCTCTCTCTCAGTCAAACCACGAGGTCCAACCACTTGGAATTAATGTGAAATACTTTTCATCAGAACGTCCTCTGGACTGCTAGTCGTGACTCATAAACAGGATCATTCAGCCCGGCTGTCTGCTCTTCACTGGTGACGTCTTTCGAGCCGTTCACTTCACTGTTTGTCACTTTGAAGAGCAGTTCTACGGCTCATCGTGAACGAACGATTCTCTCGTGTTCCAGACGGACGTCTGCCCTTCTCTCTGTTTACAACCTGTGATGTTGTTGTTGGATAAATAACCTCGACTATCAGCCTTCATCTGCTCTCCTCTTATTGACTTTACATGGACTGCAATGTGATGATGATGATGATGATGATGATGATGATGATGATGATGATGATGATGGTGGTGGTGATGAGTAACAAGTGAGTGACTCCACTTCTGTACTCAATCAGCCCTGAAGGAAAAGCTGCATCATCGTCATCCTCCTCCTCCTCTCTCTGCTGCCTTGATATAGTGTTTGATGACTGAAACACTTAAAGTTGTTATAATAGTAAAACAGAAGCAATCCTTCAGTGTAAATGACTTTTGCAAAGACTACTTTATTGTCTTGTTGTGATTCGCTCTTGGAACCTAAAACAATATATTACTATGAATATTAACACAACATTATATATTGTTTATATCTCAAAACACGGTGAAAAAAAATCCAAAGTTTTCTACACAATCATGCGTATTAATTATTGTAAAAGTAACAAGTAATGCGACTCAACGCTGAGGAAACGAAGCAGGAAACACAGATGGTGGACGGTCCATCAGAGGAAACCTGAACACAATGAGGAGGAAACAAGAGGACAAAGGAGGAATTCTCAGGATCATTTCATGTGTCATACATGTTTCTTTGTCCATTAAATGTTTCTCTTCTTCTTCTTCTTCTTCTTCTTCTTCTTCAGGGCGCCAATGCCTCTGCCTTGGAAAAGGAGATTGGACCGGAACAGTTTCCCGTTAATGAACACTACTTTGGATTGGTCAATGTAAGTGTTGCATGTACAGTGTATCGCTGGTGTAACATGTAACACAGTGTTGAGCTTCACCGCTAGAAGCCTCCACGTCTCTCATTCTGTCTCGTCTCTTCTTCTTTTGTTCCAGTTTGGCAACACCTGCTACTGTAACTCAGTGCTGCAGGCGCTGTACTTCTGTCGACCGTTCAGAGAGAAGGTGCTGGCGTACAAGGTGAGTAGAGGGGGGGTAGAGAGAGAGAGAGAGGGCGGAGGTAAAAAGAGAGAGGTAAAGAGAGAGAGAGAGGGGGGGAGGTAGAGAGAGAGGTGCTTCTGTACTCGTGTACTTGTAACACTTAAATTATAAGAAATAATGTGAAACAATACTTGTTTTGTGACAAAATGGGCGTCGACTAGATGTTTAGGTATTCAGCTGCACTACAGAGGGAACTCACATTCAGAGTGTTGCATTGTGGGTAGTCTGTAGCCGTATTGTTGCCTCTTTCATGTCTCTTCACAAAGCGTCTTTAGTTTAGTTTGTCAGCTAAATTAAAACTATGGTATATTACAAGTTGGGGTTTATTTTAACAGCTGGTTTCAATATGTATTTAAATATGTAGAGAAAGTGATCAGACGGTTGTAAACAAGAGTCAACAGTTTAGCCTGATGATACACTTTAAATGGAGGTAAAAGTGAAAGTTGGTGAACCTTAAATGTGAGTTTAATAGGTTGAATAAGGAATCCAGTCAAGTTTATGTTTACAGCTGCACGTCTTTGTGTTTCAATCCAAACAACTTGTTTTCAACACGTCCGACTGCTCGTGTTTGTATAGTTTATATATTATATAGTTGTAATAAACTGTACTTTGACCTGGTTTCTGATGACTCGAGAGCCTGAAGCGTCCGTGTGCGTAGCGGATAGTTCTTTGTTTCCTCAGAAGAAAATACATTTATGACAAAGTGGAAAGAGATTAAGAGTCTGTCTGCAGAGAAGATGAGACCGATGAGCAGAATGAGGAATTGACTGTGCTGGAAAAATATACTTTAAAATATACCATGAATGTGGAATTTTTCATCTTTAATGAGAGAAAGATGCTCGAGGAATCTTATCCTTGGACTAATAATATCTTTGGGAAACTTTCCCATCAGATAAAAAGTGTTTTTAAATTTATTTTCAAAAACGTTTTTCCAATAAAACCGACGTAAGAAAAGGTTTTATATATCAGCCAATAATAGTTCACACTCACAGGAGAAATAATCAAAGTGTCTGTTGATTACTCACCTTAGAAGAGACTTCAAAACCATTTTCTACTTCGGTTGCTTCACCCTGTTTAATGAGTTAGATATCAGTTTCATAGGTCATCAATGTGTGTGTGTGTGTGTGTGGGTGTGGGTGTGTGAGATATCACTCTCATAGATTAGATAAAAGGTCAAGGTTCACCTCACCTGTTACATCAGAGAAAGTTAAATATCTCTTGATAGTAAACGTCTTCTTCATCTTCTCCTTCTTCTCCCTCTCCTTCTCCTCTTTCTTCTTCTTCTTCACCTTCCTCTCCTCCTTCTTCTTCAGGTGCAGCCGCGTCGTAAGGAGTCCCTCCTCACCTGTCTGTCTGACCTGTTCAACAGCATCGCCACGCAGAAGAAGAAGGTCGGAGTCATTCCTCCCAAGAAGTTCATCTCCCGGCTGAGAAAAGAAAATGGTAAAATACGGATATCGTACCGTAAGGAGGAAGAGTAAGGAAGGAGGGCGGGAGAGAAGGATCCTCTTCACCCTCCCTCTGCTTGAGTTTCTAAACGTGTGACTTCCTGTGTTTTTCTCTGGAAAAAAACATTAATTCCAACAACTCCACCAGGTGTTAATGTTCTTTCATCAGACGAGTCACAGATGAGTTAACTGACTGGTGAGGGGGGGAGGAAGATAGAGGAGAGAGAGGAGGGAGGGAGGGAGGGAGGGAGAGAAAGAAGGGAGGGAGGGGAAGGGGAGGGAGGGAGGGAGAGAAAGGAGGGAGGGAGGGAGAGAAAGGAGGGAGGGGAAGAGGAGGGAGGGAGGGAGAGAAAGGGGGAGGGCAGCCGAGGAAATAAAATATTCAGCCAAATCCTGCAGATGAAAAAGAACAGATGTTGATGTTCTCTCTCTTCCTCTTTATTTACATCCTTCCTTATTCCTCTGACAACTCTCTGACTCCTCCCCCTTCAGAGCTGTTTGATAACTACATGCAGCAGGACGCCCACGAGTTCCTCAACTACCTCCTCAACACCATCGCCGACCTGCTGCAGGAGGAGAAGAGCCAGGAGCGACAGCAGAATGGGAAGCTGGTGCAGAATGGAGGAGGGACGGGAGGAGGAAGTGAGGGAGGAGGAGGAGGAGGAGAGGGGGACGGAGGAAAGGAGACACAACAGACTTGGGTCCATGAGATTTTCCAAGGAACACTGACCAATGAGACGCGCTGCCTCAACTGTGAAGCTGTAAGTCCTAATTTTAGGATTTAAGTTAGAATTTATTTACCTTTAACTTTATAAAACTAGTCATCTTTCTTTGCCCTTAAGCCCCTCCCACCTGATGGTCATGTGACGCACTTCATACAGTACCCAGTACGACTCATTCTCTTTTTACGGTTAATGGTTTTGCTTTGCAGTGTAAGTAGTTGTTGCTCATGCTGGTATAGAAACTTTCTCTGAAGGATATTCTACCGTTGAATCTGCATTAGCGTTCGTGGATCAGCCAATAGGAACGGAATAGACCTTGAGTGTGTTCACTTGCATTACAGGTGAGCAGTAAAGACGAGGACTTCCTGGATCTCTCGGTGGACGTGGAGCAGAACACCTCCATCACGCACTGTCTCAGGTAACGATCACCCACAAAAAGAGAAACTAGTATGTACAAAAAGAGAAACTAGTATGGACAAAAACTAGTATGGACAAAAAGAGAAACTAGTATGGACAAAAAGAGAAACTAGTATGGACAAAAAGAGAAACTAGTATGGACAAAAAGAGAAACTAGTATGGACAAAAACTAGTATGGACAAAAGGAGAAACTAGTATGGACAAAAAGAGAAACTAGTATGGACAAAAAGAGAAACTAGTACGGACAAAAAGAGAAACTAGTATGGACAAAAACTAGTATGGACAAAAAGAGAAACTAGTATGGACAAAAACTAGTATGGACAAAAGGAGAAACTAGTATGGACAAAAGGAGAAACTAGTATGGACAAAAGGAGAAACTAGTATGGACAAAAAGAGAAACTAGTACGGACAAAAAGAGAAACTAGTATGGACAAAAAGAGAAACTAGTATGGACAAAAGGAGAAACTAGCGCGGACAAAAACTAGTGCGGACAAAAAAGTTTGTTATTTTACTTTGTGTGTGTGTGTGTTTTCTTAACAGGGGCTTCAGCAACACAGAGACGTTATGTAGTGAATACAAATACTACTGTGAGCAATGTCGCAGCAAACAGGAAGCCCAGAAAAGGTGAGTGACATCGTCAGCTGATTTGTTCTTTCTTTCTTTGTTGTGGTTTTGAATGTTGACATAAGGACGGGTCAGTTATTTTAATATTATATAAAGCAACTTTTTGAAGCAACATTTTAAGGGAGGTTGCTGTTGCTTTAAAAGCTGCAAGAGCCGAGATTAGGAGCTTTTTCTCAACGGCTCTGAACATGCCGGCAGCAACAAAGCACCTCTACTTTATCTTTACTTCGACAATAGTTGCTGCTATAATAATGTTCTAAATGTCAAATAAAGCTCCTTTAACCACATAGAAAATTGGTCTCTACAGAGCTGTGAAGTGTCGGCTTCAACCGCAGTCAAAAAGTACAAACCTTTCTTCTCCGTCTCTCCACCAGGATGCGGGTGAAGAAGCTACCGATGATCCTCGCCCTCCACCTGAAGCGCTTTAAGTACATGGACCAGCTGCACCGCTACACCAAGCTGTCCTATCGCGTCGTCTTCCCGCTGGAGCTCCGCCTCTTCAACACGTCCGGGGACGCCACCAACCCCGACCGAATGTACGACCTGGTGGCTGTCGTTGTACACTGTGGCAGGTAGGCTCTTCTTCCTTCAACTACATTTTATTTAAATATGCTGTGGACTTGCATGCTCTTCCTCAACGTCTCTGAATAAGATCAGAAAAATTACTATTTTGCGCATGTTAACGTAGTCTGTGTGTAGCTGGCATTAAATTAGATCAAAAGATAAATAAAACAACTGGAAAGACGTGGCTTTGCTGCAGTTTTCTGAGGCCGATTAGTTGACGTCAGCTGATGTGGAAGTGATCGTATGCAAGTTATTAAGTCACTGGATCGTCTTCAAGCAGCAGATGAGTGATGTAATCGTCCAGCTGTGAATGAACATTATATGTGAACACAAAAGACTGCAATACTCAAATGGGGCTGAACTATTGGATTTTGGACCTTTTAGAACGGCCGACAGAATCCAGGTTTACATGTTTACTTGTGAATAAAGTAAAAGCACCTTTAGGTGTGTTGTTCTCTGTGTCTCACTCGTTGCTCCTCCTCTCTGCAGCGGTCCAAACCGTGGACACTACATCACCATCGTCAAGAGTCACGGCTTCTGGCTGCTGTTTGACGACGACATCGTAGAGGTAACAGACACATCCTCTCCTAGTACTACTACCTCCTCTTCTACTGCTACTACGTCCAAACCGTTAGTTATTTCTAACTTTTAAACGAGACGTTAATCTTTCACTGAAACAAGATTCAAATGTTGGCCGTCATGAAACAGCTGCTCTCTCTTCAGCGTCTCTGGAACCATCTGCTTCTCTCTGGAGTGTTGACAGGAGAACACGTAGCAGCCTAGAAACAGAACCAACGGTCTGCCATGACAGCACCATGGTGTTAGTGACCATAACGTGATAATCTATCAATCCAAATTCAGCAGCGTCTCCAGCCCTGCGACATGTTAAAAGTACATGAAGTCAGACGAGTAGCGCTCGACCGAGTCAGTACTTGCCCTGAAGCCTCGGCACGCTGCTGTGTTCCAGCTGCAGACGAGTAACCTTTCACCTTATGTCTCCGAGGACAAGGAAATAGCGGTTAGCTGACCGTGCAGCGATGACAGGTGAACGCTCCGGGGTGTGTGGAGTATAATCTGTGTTAGAGACAAATGTACAAACAGGGTTTAACACAATATAGTAAAAGTCAAAAGAAAATCCTCCAGAGTATTTCCTCAGTCACGTGCTGTAGATTTATTTTACAGGTCTGCAATATCTGAATGTTTTCCTAATAATTCCCCGGAGAGGTTCTTTGGAAAAAACGACGTAATTTTGTTCTCATTACGAGGAAATTAGGAACAAACTGCTCATTTAAACTTCTCCATCTACGTTCTGAGCTCACTAAAAGTCTCTCTATCCTCACAATCAGTTGGAATCAACTCATTTGAAGTATAACAAAGTACAACAATTCAACACAGTATTTATTATTTGTGCTAAATGACATCGTCCTTTCTTTGAATCACGCAAACTAATAGCTGTATTTAGTGTTTTTACAGGAAGTACGTAATGAATTTGATCTCTAAACATTCGTTTTGGTCATATTTCATACGGCTCCAGTTAAACTGGTTTGTTTCACTTTTAAGAGAAGTCCCACTGCTGTTTGAATCTCAAACCCTCACCACCAGTGTGTTTTTCCACTATGGTGGGAAGGAGGCCCAGTCGAAGAACATCTGGTCCAGAAACTGACCGAGTTCTGGAAGAATCCGCTGAGTTTGCAGAGCAGAAACGCACACTCATCATTTTTCTATGATTAGTGGAGGTTTAATCTCCCCTTCTGTCTCGCTGCTTTGTATTCTAGCTTTTCATTTGTTCTGAAGTTTATCTTTTCACTCTTTTTCTGTCTCTTTCCACCTGGAATAGAAACCGCCTGACTTCTCCAAAGCCTCTTCTCTTCTCTTTGTTTAACTCCATTGTCTCCCTCTCTCTGTTCGGACGAAGCTGCTGCACTGAAACAGTTGTCCGAGTCAGAACCTCATGATATTCACCACTTCCTCTTCAACATTCTCACTTTGAACGGGAAACAAAAGCCTCTGTGAAAACAGTGACACAACAAAGTTCAACAGCACAGCTGTGAGCTGAAGAAGAAGGATTTTATCCTGAAAGTAGTGGATTGTGTTCTGGTCTGACAGTAAAGTCGGTGAAGTTGTGCAGTAAATCCCTGCTCAGCTAAACTCTAACATCAAACATTTTATCTTCTTTTCTTGTAGAAAATTGACGCGCAGGCGATCGAGGAGTTCTACGGTCTGACGTCGGACATTTCCAAGAACTCTGAGTCGGGATACATCCTGTTCTACCAGTCCAGAGACTGACCCAGCCGGCGGTGAATCCCCCAACAGACTGTACGCCCGACAGAGGGGGGGTGGGGAGGCCCACTGGCTCCGCCCCCTTCCCACTACGCTCACATAAGTACCCAGGCTTTATTTCCTGCAGTCGGAGCGCCACTCGGATCGGTCGAAACATGTGCGGGTCGCTACTGCCAGCCTCCTGGATTACGACCGCTCGCATCCTTCTTGAGCACCTTAAAAAAAACAAATGCGCGCCGGGGCATCAGCGGGGGAGGGGGGGGCCGAGTAACACCAAATCCAAGAGGCTGACATCGCCGGGAGCACAGCGGTCCAATTGTTTTTGGGACAACGCAGAGCAACCAATCAACTGTTTCGGATGAGACACAGGATTGTAGACCTCCTCCTCACGGTAACCGTCAGTCTTCTTCAGCGTTCTTTTGTTTTTGTGTGTATAATATACCATGCTACGTTAGCCTTACGCTAACACATAGCTACCGCGCGTTCATCCCCTTTTCCCCAACCCCCCCCAAACATTTAAAAGTCCACCAGGAGATGGAGAAACTAACATCTGACAGCCTTGTTTAAAACCCCCGCCTGTCAGAATAAAACCACTGATGGAATAACTTGAACGTGGAGCGAAGCAGTTGCTAGTTTGCAGTGTTTGCATCATGAAGTGGTGCTAAAAACATAGAGTGGTGTTATAGGAGAGCGTGAGATAGACAACCAGCCACGAGAGAGACGCTGACGAATCTGATAGACGACCCTTATTATTATTATTATTATTTCTGTTTTTATCTTAAATTAGTGCAGTGCCTGTTGAAAACATGGCTTGTTAAAAAGCGGTGAGCCTTCCAGCTCACCAACGACGCTGTTGTGGTTTTAGTCTTTAGTGTTGCAGTTGCTGGTGAGTCGTGCCATTACGGGTCATGTTTGGTGCCACAGCGAGAGAAATAGGATATTGAACGAAGCGTTTCAACGTTAAAAGAAGTATTTCTACTCTGGATTCTCTGGGTTTCAGTTTGATTTGAAAGATTTGTCTTTAAACATTTTTCGACTTTTCTTTAACGGCAGAATGTGCACATTTGTACCTTTTTTCTTTTAAAGGGACACACACAGATACAAATATCTGGTATTTCCTTTAAGTCAGTTCTGACATCCAAACTGTCCCACTCCAGGTTGAATGTGTCTCTAACACCTCCCTGCATACGCCAGCACACAACCTCTGGCTCGAGTGTTCCTCCTGCAGCCGCAGACTTTTACACGTGTTTTCTGCTCCACAATCTTAAATCGGAGCCTTCAGTGATGCTGATGCGGAGCGTGTCGGTCGAACAACACATTTCCTCTCCTCTGTATGTTTTAAAACCTAATTCAGCTCAATAAGAAGGAGTTCAGGGCGGTAACAACCTCTGAGTTAACTAATAAAACCCGCCCAACATTTGCAGTTTCTCCAGTGTGAGGTTGCTCTCTCACTCTTATTAAATTCAGACACGGAGTCTTTCCTCCCTAAATCAAGCTTTCTGCCTCCTCCTTCTCCACTTCCGTTGTTCTCGTTTTAACGCACAAACAATCCAAATGTAGTTGTTTTTTTTTTCTGTATGTTTTAATGCTCCAGGCGCGTGAGGCTCCTCCCGACTGGGCTGTCCCACATCAACAAGCAAGCTCACCCCGTCACCTTTTGAACAGATGGCAAAGTGAATGGAAACGAGCTCTCTGCAGCCTCCAGAGGTGTTTATATTCTGCAGCAGTTGAGTGGTCTGGGCAGCGGGTCAAGTATTATCTGAATGTTAAGATGTATAGTAAAGCAAAAACAGGGCTGCTGCTGCCCCGACTGTAACACACCAGCTGGAGTCGGGTACGTTTTGAATAATCTGAAGTTGCTCTCTTTACCGCTAAGACGAGAAAAGCACTTTTAACACAAATACTTTATTTAGAATGTTTTAATTTCCTTTTGGAGTCTTTTATTTTGACGCCCGAGAACAAACGTAATGCAGGTCAGTTAATCAGTTTATGTACAAACTCGTCATCGGTCCCATTGTTTTATTCAGCAGTTAAAATCCGGCTGCGTTCACAACAAAACATGCATTGTTGCAACGCCGGATTTGTTGAGAATGCAGCGTTTTATCACAGCCACAGAAGTGTCCTGAGGTCCTTGAACGTCTCACTTAATTCAGGAGAGGGAGCAGCTTCAGACGGCGCGTTCAAAGTCAACACTATTTCTTTTCTCCGGATGTTTTGCGTGTTGTTTTGGGGGTCGATCCGCTTCGTTTTCCATCATTTCTTCAGTTTTTTGGAAAGTAAAAAGAAGAAGTTTACAGGTTCGTATTCAGGCTCCAACAGAATCCGTGGACTCCTAATGAAGTGACCAAATGACGTGTTCTTATTTTAAGCTTTTCAAAGGAAACCTTTTATTTTCCTCATTGTATGACTGAACAAAAATAAGCACAAAAAGCGCGTTATTTGGTGGATGAAAGTCTACAGATTCAGTTGGGAGCTGGTTATGAGTCTCCTTCAATGAAACGCAGTTTTAATGGAAATCGTTGCTCCTCAAAATCTGTAAATGTGTTGAAACAAGGCTCTGTTTTAATTTATATACTATAAATATTATTATTATTCATTTGTTATCTTCTGTTTCTTAGATGTCTCACTTGTTTTTGATATATTTCACTAATTCTACGAGTCTACCATTTTTGAGTAGGCGGCTTTGGAGATTATTTTGGGGGAGTGTGTGACGAGAAATCATGTGTACATAAATACAGATATTATTATTGGAATATAAATAATTGCTTGCTTTAAAATAATCGGCAGACATCCAAAAATATTAGTGTAAAAAGTTATGCCTCAAAATACTTTTATTGTGTTAATGAATCAATAACAAGCCCCGCCCGTCTGGCGTCCAGGGTAACATAAACCAAGCAGCCCCAAAGTAAATGAGCTCATGTAATCTGTCACATTATAGTACACAGAAACAGACTGATTTCACTAAGATACTCTGAAGAAAACTACAAGGAACTACTGTGCAGAGTGACTGAGCCTGACCTGTCCTGTGTATCACTGTTAAAGGAAACATCCACTTTAAAGTGCGTCAGCGCTGAGTCATCTCTTCTTCTTCTCTTCTTCTTCTCTCTTACATAAGTTTGTGTTTAGTTGAGTTTGTCCCGTGATTAACAAGTCAAATGAAGATGGCGTTTTGTTAACAATCACAATGTTGAAGAGTACTAAAATATGACTTTTGGCCTCACAAAACATCCAATTCACAGAAAAGAAAGGGGTTAGCTCCGTTAGCACCGAGCCACTAGCTCACCGTCAACATGTTGATGCCTCGTGTCTTTAAATATCCAGCATCAGTATTTCTTTATAACTTACTTTGTCAAATCACTTGAACATTTTGAAATGTCTTATTTTTGGACGATAATAAAAGGATTAAGTCTTCAGCATTGTGATTATTCAGCTGGTTAGGCTTAAGGGAGTTGTTTTTAATAGCAGAAGCACAAACATTTTCTCACATTTGTATATAGGTTATATATAACGTGAAAAGCTGACGTCTGCAGGTGGATATTTCCTTTAGCAGTTGTTCTGTCCTCTGAAATGTCCCTTCTGGGCTTCGGTCGTCCACATCGCCCTTCTTCTTGTCAGACTCACCAAGAATGTAAATGTTTTGAGTTCTGCTATGTGACTGAGATGTGTCTTTAACTCTGATACTGATACTGCAACTGACTTGTGTGCAAAGTGACAGCAGCCTCACAAACAAACAACCGAATTATTTATATGATCATATATATATATATATATATATATATATAGCGGCACCTGTTTGTGAGCTGCTGCTGCTTCACTCTCTGCCGTCTGAAGTCCCTCTGAACACATGTAGACGCAGTGAGGTTTGTGAACGACGGCTGGTTCTAATAAGTGTCCAAACTTGAAATAAAACAAACATTTTTAAAATGGAAACATCTCAACTGTCTTCAGTGTTTCTTTAAGAGCGTTTAGTTTATTAGGATCAGCTTTAGGAGCGTAAAAAGAGCTTATGTGGTGAACGTCGCCCTCCTGTGGTTAGAAGGTCACTACCCCGCTGGAAACACTTCAATGCCTCACAAGTCTAATTCTGAAGACGTCGAGACATTCAGGGACAGATTTGGTTGAAAAGTAAAAGTTTAACAGCTTTTCAGGGAAATATAACATGGAAGTTTCGCCGTTCTGGAGATTTCAATCGTATCACATGATCTTCCTCAGCAGATGAAGCTGCTCAGCTTGTGCTTTTGTTTGTAGGAGACGACACAGTTTCCTACTTTTGTTTCTCTGAGGAATAAACAAGTTCTGCTGCAGAACAGTTTATTTTTCTTCAGAAATACTAAGTGGTTCAATGCTGCGTTCAGGTTACCCGGTTATCATGGGAGAAATGGAAACGTTTTCCATCAGATATTGGGAGCTTGCTATTTACAAGATAATAAACCGGGACAATTGTATATGAACACAGCATCCAACCCAACCTCAAAACACATGAAACGTGAACTTATCCACCAACTGTGGCCCAGTTTTAATTCTATTGTCGTTGCGAATCACCAAATCAGTGCGCAGCGGAACGTGCTGATGTCTGTGCGCACCGCTATGTGACCCGCAGTGCAGCTGCTGAACATCTGTATGTTTGGGTGATTTATTACAGATTCCAGTAAGAAAGTGTTTCCATCATCGCTGCTGTGTCTGGATCCTCCTAACTGCACATGTCTAGAGGTGAATGTGTCACGACGACTTACTGCAGAGCTCCTTAAAATACAGCAGAGCAACGGTTGAATGAGCAGGACGTAACAGACAGGACGTTTAGCATGATTTATGGTATTTAACTTCATGGTGATAAAAGTTCACTTTGAGAGTTGACAAATGCGCAGATGAAACATAGAAGCAAAAATGAAGGTAAAGAAAGGTTCTGGCTGTGATATATTTGTTTATTTTCTGCTGAGATGCCGTCAGGAGTTATACTTCAATGTTTGACAGTATTGTAGATTATATTTACAGTTAATGCAGCTTATTGCAGGTTATTGGTAAACAACAGGAGGAGTCTGGTCTGGAGTAGATGAAGAAGTGCAGCTACACAGAGTGATGCAGTTCTACTGTACGTATTCAGGGTTGTGTGTGTAACATGACATTAAGTACACATTAAGTACACATTATGTACATCTCAATGATTACTGCGTCCACTTTCATTTCATCTCAGAAACAGTTATTATTCTCTTCTTCGTGTGCTGATGTCCCAGTTGTGCTTGAAAGTTTAAACACTTTCTTCCGACACAAATCCAAAAAGTCTTTAAAACAAACGCACACACACACATTCATGCACATGCTGCGTTCCAGGGATGCCTGAAAAGTTGGAAATTCCAAACGTGCCGCCTTTAAAGTTCAGGTAGGAATTTTAGGATTCAAGAATTTTAGATTGTAGAGCTGCAGAGTGTTTATAATCTTAGGAAGACACTTAACCTTTGTTTTAAATCAACAGTAGTCTGCTGTAAATGTAACAGGACGTTGGGCACATTTTTGGGGGGAATTCTGACCTCAAAAACACACAAAACACCCACACAACTTTCCTTCTTATCTCCCCTTTTCCTCGCCCGTCATCACACCACCGTCTCCGAGCTCGACCCTTTCCCGGTGAAAAAGTCCCAGAAGTTGGAGGCCGGTTTGCCGTCGTCCTGCGGCGTCTGTCTCACCCAGATGCTGCTGTCCGTCGAGCCGCTCAGACTGGAGCAGCTGCCGCCGACGCCGCCCAGCGTGAAGCCCGGCGGGCCCCTGCGGTCCTGGGCGTCGTGGTCCTGGCTGAGTCTGGGGCCGGAGGACGAGGAGGGCTGGGCCAGGCTGAGCAGGTTGTGGTGGGAGTGGAACTGACGCATGTGGCGGATGGATTTACCTGAAGGGGCCTCGCCTGGAGGATAGAAAACAAGCACAAAAACGTTGTGCAATCACGGTTTCTTTGGGGAGATCTGTCCTCCGTTTAACAAATACAAATACAAAATAAAAGCAAATCCGTTCAAGACAGGAAAACCTTTTTAAAAACGTTGATTTCAAGATTAACGTTCTCAAATTCTCATAGTAAGACTTTATTAAAGCTGGAGAAACTTCTATAAAAGACGACGGAACAACCAAACCAGGATCAGTCATGTGGTCTTCATCATTCATCTACTCTTCTTCTTCTTGTGTTCCTTATGTTCAACACAATACTTCATGTTAATAGTGATGCTGCGTTGGCCTCTCCAGCTTCCTGTCTGTCACCACTAGATGGTGCTGTGGCCTCACTTTACATCCCAGCACACAGATGTTCAGCGTTATATTCAACATAAGCATCTTATTTTAAAGATGCTTTAATGTGCCGTAGTGTAGGAGGATTGTAACTTCAGATTTTAGAAATAATGACCAATGGTCCAATTATATTTTCCTACATTTTATTTAAATTGAGCCGTTTGTTCAAGAAGATTCCTCTTAAATGAACTGTAAATTAACTTTATTTATTGAAACTTTCTTGGGGAATCTTAGGACTAAGAGGAAAGCATTACCTTTTTATTTCCCAAAAAGTAATAAGGGCATAAAATGATAACAGTCAAATTTAAAGGCACGTAGGTTAAGTATTGATGTCTCCTTCATGAGGACACATGCGTACCGTATCTGGTCTCCTGGCGCTTCCTGTTCTGGTTCAGTTTGAGAACGTTGAGGAACACCTCGCTGGTCAGGCTGCCATCGCCGCCGTTGCCGTCCGGTGGGAAAAGCGGTGACGGCGGCTCCAGCGGAGACAAACTCCCGCTGGAGGCCCCGACGGAGTCCAGAGAGGCCCCCGTGTCCCGACGACCCCCCGACTCACTGCCGCTCTCCACCGTCAGGTGACTGCCGCTGGATGAGGGGATGAAAATGTAAAATGTAACATCAGTAGAGAAAGAAAAGTAGCTCAGTGATGAGACCAGTCTGCATGGTTACCTGAGTTTCCTCCGCAGCAGATAGTCGATGATGTCCGGGTCCGTCTGGATCAGGCTCATCAGGACCTCCTGCTGCAGCTCTGCAGACACCTGGAGGGTCACAAACCAAACGCTTTGATTGGATCTTGAGAAAATTATTTGTGTGCATAAATGACACCAAAATTAAAAAGCTGAAAAAAAGTTTTTAATATCTCAAAGTCTCAGCACATGAAACAAATATTAGCATGATAAGGTACCAATGATGCTAATCCTTTCATACTTATTTCCCAAGTTTAAAAGCTACGTTAAAAGACAATACTTCATCATCTGCGTACCATGAAGAGCCTCCTGTGGTTCTGTATGAGCAGCAGGGTCACGCCGATGATGGCCGTGCTGTCCTCGATCCCCATCGCATGAGGACTCGGGTCTCCTCCTCGCTCCTTCTGCAGCAGGTTGGGACCAAAGATCACCGCCAGGTTCGCTGCCGTCATCTTGTTACCGGGGATCTGGATGGAGAGAGGACGACGGAGAGGTCCTCATTTTGTACAATCGATCTTGATCCACTTTATTTGTTATTGGCTCTAAACCTGCAGTCGCAACATTACAATAAATGACCCCATAGAGACACAATGACCACAGAGTCCGTCCCCCAGGGGCCCGTTTGTCTCATAATCCTAACTTCTACTCGCTCTATAGAACGGGTGAAGCCTGTACCTCCTCGTCGTTGGTTCCCACGCTGTCCTGGGCGAAGCTCTGCACGGTGTGCAGCAGGCTGAGGAGGCGCAGCAGGGTGTCACAGTTACAGGGAGGCAGCAGGTAGAGGAGGTGCTGCAGGTACTGGAGCTGGTCTGCTCCCCTCAGCACTGCAGGGAGAGGACGAGGACTTAGCGGGTATTGTACAGGTGTTAAAGCTGTTTTAGTCACCGTGTGTGTGTGTGTGTGTGTGTGTGTGTGTGTGTGTGTGTGTGTGTGCGTGCTCACGGTTGGCGTGCAGGAAGGCGGGGTAGAGCTCTCTGGGCAGCAGAGGGTCAGGAATGTCTCTGAGGAACTCTTTGAGCAGCGCCGCCACGTCGTGGACGCTGTGCTCCTCGTCCAGCTGGACGTCCACCCCCCTATCGAAGTCCTCCAGCAGCTGAGCAGCACACAGAGGACAAGTGTACCCACAAATATGCATGTAGGAAAAGACAAAAACACACCAGGAGGTCAAACAGGAGTCACTTTCCCCCCCCGACGGACACGAACTCTCCAAAACAGGATGTCACACATCGTCAGCTTTTCCCTTGAAGATTATTTTCATTTTCCACTCTGACGGGAAACATTTATTTTAAATGTTGCATCATATTTATTCTCAGTATTAATCTTCCCAAGATCTTCCTCATTGGTACAATGTTTACAAAGAAAGAAAATTAAGTTTAAGGAAATCTTGAGCAAAGATGTAAAAATGAAACACCAAAACCTGCTTTACATTTTGTTCTACAGTCATTTGGAAGCGCCTTCATCATTTTAAGTGTTGATTATGAAAAATAAAATGTTATTCCAGATGTTTCGTTTTTTACAGTGATAAATTTGATGTGGGTGAACAGGAAACGTCCTCACCTGTCTCACTCTCTTCTTAGAGCTCCCAACTCGGAAAATCCCCACCGTCTGAAGACCTGGGGACACAAAATGGTGCAACAAACAGTCTCATAAAGTTCGGTTTATCTACATTTAAAAGGAAAATAATACTTCAGTGAGTCTATTTAAATGACTGGACATAAAAAACAAACTTTTAACTTTTGCAGCTTCAAGTTGAAAGAGTTTTGGGGACGCCAAATGGCACAAGAGAGCCGCAGCCGCCAGCGCGTGTCTCACCGTAGGTCTTGATGTGACTGCAGCACCTCTCCAGGACCCGGGGCACCTGTTTGTAGATGGGGTTGAGGCTGAGCTTGGTCTGGGTCCTCCCCTCCGACGACCCGCCGCCGCCCGGCGACTTCATGAGCTCCAGCTCGGCCGGGTGAGAGAGCTGCAGCGCCTCCAGCAGGCGAGACTGACTCTCGACGAGGTCGGAGATGGAGTCCACCGACAGACCGCCCTGCAAGAGAAAGAGGGTACTTTCCTGTGAAGACGGAAGTTTATTTTGAAAAGGCCGCATGCAGGAAACGGGCAGAAAGTGGCACGTGTTGCTGAACCTTTGTAGGAAAACGAAAAATAACTTTCAACCATTGAATAAGATTCCTGGAAAACACGTCAAGCAACACAAGTTTACAGAAAAGTAAAACACTGCATCACATGTTTTCGGCCACTAGGGGGCAGCAAGCTGAAAAACACAACATATTATCAACATGTTATCACTATTTGTACCTGCAGCAGATTTCTGCACTTTCTCTTAACTCTGTTTTGCTCTTCAACTCAAAAACATCTCTCTGGGTTCAACACATGAAGTCATTTGAATCACTGATATAAAAGTATTGATTCGTGCAGCTTTAAATGAAGAGAAAGAGTCGAGAGAAGAAGAAGAAACACTCGGAGAGAAGCACCGACGGGAGAAAATGATGTCAGAAGAAGAAGAAGATCCAATAAATGTTTGAGAGGCAGACAAACGAAGACCGCAGAAATATATAAATCGCTCATCTGTGAACTGCAACTAATCGTTTCTGGAGGAACGTCAAGCGTCCCAACAGCAGCTCAGTCCAGAAAACTAAACCGCTCCAGAGTTCAGGGATTATTAGGATATAAATTCAACCTCAGAAAGAACAACTTTGTGTCTTTCGAAGCCTCTAAACCTTTATGAACCTGGTGTTCTTGAAGGAATGGAGTTCTTAAGTTATTCAACTTAAATACAGTTTTAAATATAAAGCAAATAACCTCCGTCTGTCTGTGTGTTCTTCTCATATCTCGAGGACCGCTCATCTCCTTCACACCTGGTATATTGCTCGAGATTCATTTTGTGCAATTTGGACGGTCGATATATTCAACGTCGATCAACATTTATACAAACAAGCACACGGCAATCTGTGTAGCAGATCAACATAATAATTAAAAATATCCTCCATCTTGTTCCAGCCGTTAATCTCAACCTTTACTCTCTCAGTGTACACCGTCTGTCTCTGCACGCAGCCACCACGTTACTGCTGCTCAGCTGACAACATGAAGATCTCCAGCCAAAGAGTGTGTGTGTGTGTGTGTGTGTGTGTGTGTGTGTGTGTGTGTGTGTGTGTGTGTGTGTGTGTGTTGTCAGATATGTAAACAGTGAGCTGCTGCAGTCCAGACAGCTGTAAGAGGGTGAGTCAGAGTCCCATTTAGGTTGAGAAGGATGAGAAACACGTAACCTTCAATAAGTATTACAAATATTTATATTTAAAGCTTTACTTACAGTTGTAAATTACTTAAGTTTGGATTTTTTATGCCATAAATGGAGTTTTCACATTACTTAACGGTCAATGATGAAGATAATCGAGTCACATTGTCAGTTCTGTGAGTCCGTCTTCTACCAAATACTCATCATCACTGTGTGTAGTGTTTACTTCAGCGACTAGTCGTATGACCTGCACTTGATCGCTGGTTCAGGTTGGATCACTGCGCTGCTGTAATGATGCTCTTTACGGGCTTTAACATAACGACTGTTTCCAGATCAGCGTTGAGAGGATTACAGGGTGCAACAAGCACAACACATGAAAACACCCAAAGCAACAACACAGCGTGTCTTCACACTAACACACGGCTGTGGAAACAAAAGAAAGAGTCTGAGCTGTGACATGATGTTCATCAGTCACTCTGTCTCACCCTCCTCTGTCCTCGCCCCGTGTTGTCCAGAAACGTTGGCGACAGCGGGTTGTTCTGGGTCTCGGTAACTGGCGCCGGTGAGCCGGGACCTCCTCCCGTGATGGAGGGGGAGCCGACCGGCGGCTTGTTCCCGTTGAAGAACTGCCTCTTCTCGGCCCTGAAGCGCAGGACGCTGGCCTCCAGGTCCAGACAGTCTCGCCTGCTCTCCTTCAGGGCGTCCTGCCGCAGCTTGTAGGCCCGGTCGTTGGCGATGACCTGGGAGAGGGGGATGCCGAACGCCTTGGCGGCAGATTCTGATGGAGGGGAGGATAGAAAAACAGAAAAGAGAAGACAAGTTATGTCACGTTTTCTTGTCAGAGACGTCGGTAACTGGAGGAGCGATTCTGAAGAGAGAGGACGGAATCATTTGTTGGCTTTACAGAAAGATTTTAAGACAAACAAAGAATCGAGAACTCAACAACTTGAACAGTAGAGACAACCGTGTCACGCTGCTGCTGAATTGTCTCTTTTTTAACAATATCAAACATCCCTGTGATTTAGCTGCACAAATCTGAACCATGATGGGATCCAAGCCCACTTTGTGTTTCCTCCAAAAAAGTTAGTTACATTAATAACTTGCTTTCTGAGCTGCATCAGCTCTCACACGGAGTATAGAGTTCAAATAAGAACATCAGGATCCTCATCGTGAAGATAACAAACGCGACGCTTTACTTCGACCTGAAGAACAGCATGATCAGCAGAAAGAGAACACAAGGAAGAGCAGCTGCTCATGAAAACATGAGAGCTGCTCCACTTAAACAAAATCTGTTTCCCGTCACTCAGGGTGTAGAACTCTTTCTGCAACATCTATGATAGATTTCAATGTCGTATCCTGGAATCTAATTCCTATAATACGATACGTACAAATTCAAAAGTGCGCGGTAAATTATCAAGAAATGTTTTTAAATTGTTTAAATAAATAACAATATTGTTAAGTATTTCAGTGTAGAGGAGGCAGCAGGGCATAAATCTGGCGTAATTTGAGGGTCCAGAGAGCTGTGATTACAAACGTTTGCCTGATATAAACTCTAAATCCCTCAGAGATTGATTCATCCACTTATAATAACTCATAACTCTGCGTGATGCTGGTTGCCAAAAAAATGTTTGCAAAATTGTAAGACTGCAATAATAAAGATGTGTGAAGAAAGATAACTGATCAAACAGGAGGGACAGATGTTGGTTTAAACATATTAATGGTTAAATATGATGTCTGGTGTTTCTCATGGGAGAAAACCTTCTTCCTCTTTCCTCACTTGAAGTCTTTAAGTGGACATTTAACTGACGATTAAAACTCTTAAGTGTTTTGGAGAGTGGTCAGAATGAGCTCTTCTTCACGGAGAAAAAACAGTCTTGCAGGTAAATGAATCTTGTCTGAACACATTGATGTAAATCAGCTGTTTGGAGAACTGGAACTGGGAGTCCTGGGTTGTATTTGGAGAACACATTCCTTTCTGCTGATCACATTTGAACTCCAAACAGGAAGACAATGAGACTCTTTTTGTTCACGAAGAAATAATGGACGAAGTGAAACTACAGAAAGAAAAATTTGAACAGCTGGTTACTTCAGTCATCACAGGAGAGATTGGAGTTCAGGTAGACGAGCGGGATAAGAATAGACAGAACAGATGGAGAGAGCAGGTAAGAGGGGGATGAACAGGTAATCCTGTTAGAGCGGCAAACCAGACATCACACTCAGACCGATACTGGCTTAGTGCAGGGGAACGCAACATGAGGTTGCTGTCATCGTGGGAGTCTCTGGTCAGCTACTCGACTGCTAAAGCTGCAAATCCTTTGCTTTGCTGCGTCACATGACCACAACAGTTGAGCGCATACTCTGATCTGGCACAAAATCCAGTTAGAGAGGTCAGTTCAGGGCAACAACAACCAAAACAATGGCTTGGATTAAAGAGTGACAAAGCAACAACTCAAATTAAGAGAGTTGATTCGATATAATAGCGAAATGATATTTATCTATGCATCTATGCATCTATTCATCTTTGCATCTATTCATCTTTGCATCTATTCATCTTTGCATCTATGCATCTATTCATCTATGCATCTATTCATCTATTCATCTATTCATCTATTCATCTATGCAYCTTTGCATCTATTCATCTATGCATCTATGCATCTATGCATCTATGCATCTATTCATCTATGCATCTATTCATCTATGCATCTTTGCATCTATTCATCTATTCATCTTTGCATCTATTCATCTATGCATCTATTCATCTATGCATCTATTCATCTTTGCATCTATTCATCTTTGCATCTATGCATCTATTCATCTATGCATCTATTCATCTATGCATCTTTGCATCTATTCATCTATTCATCTATTCATCTTTGCATCTATTCATCTATGCATCTATTCATCTATTCATCTATGCATCTATTCATCTATGCATCTATGCATCTATGCATCTTTGCATCTATGCATCTATTCATCTATTCATCTATTCATCTATGCATCTATGCATCTATTCATCTATGCATCTATTCATCTATTCATCTATGCATCTATTCATCTATGCATCTATGCATCTATTCATCTTTGCATCTATTCATCTATTCATCTATTCATCTATGCATCTATTCATCTTTGCATCTATTCATCTATTCATCTATTCATCTATTCATCTATGCATCTATTCATCGAGGCGTTTCCATGTTTTTGTGCAAGAGAAAACAACCTATCATCTGCAAAAGTTTGCACACTGCCGACTCAATCCTCAAAGTTCTGGACAAACAAACACTACCGGCAGGAAAAAAAAACATGATAATGGAGAATTCCGCAAAACCACAGATTGCAGATGTCCCTCGTTTGATTTGACGGGATTGCCGCCGCGTTATCACAGTGATGTAGTGTTGTGGTGGTAAACAGTGGTTGCACCTTTAGAGGTATTACGGTCTCACAGGTGTTCAACGTCTGTCTGGAATGAGAACATTGAGGCGCAGCGAACATTTTAAATACAGTATTTCCACATACTGCATCCAGCAACAGTATACTACAGTATACTTACTGTTATCTGGCCTACTGCCTCAGCGATGTCAGCTAGAGAATAAACGACAACTCATCAAAGGAGGATGTTTGCCAGTTTGTGATCTTGATCCCAGATTGTCCAGTTAACGCACGCCGCTGTCCAACGACTGACACATCCTGCCAACAGTGAGCGGATGGGAAACACGCCAAAAACATCACTAACTATCAAATTTGGGGACACGAACATCAGTATTGAATAGTGGTCTTCTGGTTGACAGTCCTGTTTTTGTTTGCACCACCCACCCCACAAACATCAAAGACTTGAGTACTTCCTGCACCACCCGGTGATAACCAATACAAGTGGCCATTTTCCACCGTACTTTGCATATATTTAACATATAATAACAGTGATCCTCTCGTTGATCTCTGCTTGAGCAGACTTCAGCAGGATGAACACTTTGTCTTGAAACGGGTTGAAAGGTTCTTTACACGTCACCCTGCGTAACCTGGTACATGTCATACAAACACAACGTCCCCCTGCCAACAGGAACGGGTTCATCCATAAGATGTTAATGTGTCTTACGCACTGTACTTTATGGCTGTGTTTAAACAGTAAGCTCGTGCTTATTCCTCACAGTGTTGACGTCTGTTGGCAGGAGCAGCCGAGCTGACCACTCCGTGCCTCTGCCTCCTGTCATTCGGCCACATTTTCTGGCATCCAGTGGGACTCCTACAACGGTGTTCGCTGCTGGTGCTGGAGGTGTTCAAGTAAACACTTGAGGAGTTAATAGTGGGCCGATGGCAGCCTGGAAGTCTTGGACAACACTTCACAGAGTCAGTCAGCCGAGCTAATGGGGCAGTTAGACGTCCGAGACGTCCTCGGCTTCACAGAAAGCTAAAAATTCTGCACGATTCTCAGGTTTGGGTTTTTAAATCAACATGAAAGTTAATACATCTGGCTGACGACATCAAGTAACGCACCTCAAACACTAATGATTTAAGGAATAAGTCTTCGGCATGTATACACATACAGTACACATATATGTTTTAAAACGTCAAGTTAAAAAACTTTAACGGTGGAAAAAATGAATAAACCTCATTGAGAGCAACAGACGAGGGATTCCCTTTACAACAGAGTCCATCCATAGGACAGAAATGATACATAGCAGCAGTAATAAATTACACCAGTTAGCATTTCCCCGATGAGACCCCTCTGGGTTAAGAGTAAAACAAACACTAAAACCCAGACAGGAAAACAGATGTGCGTGTCTGGTGAAAGCCTTATTGTTCGGTCCTCAGGTCACTTTCTGTTCCTGGAAGACTGAAGGAGATATATTTAGGAGGGCGTTCAGCACTCGCTACTACTCCTCCGTCACAGGCCAGCAGCTGCATGGATGATAATATCGGTCCTCCGGGGCATTGAGCTGAGTGAATGTAAAAACCTGTGTTTGTTTAACGCAGGATGTCCTCTGTGTAAACCCAATGGAACACATGCATCAACAGAAGCAACCTATAGGTTTGAGGGCAAACAAGTGAAGAGAAATACTCAAATATATCTTTTGGTATATCGTCTACCGCGTGTCGTCCGACCGTGTCTAGTTTGTTCCACTCGGGCTCTTGACCTGTAACAATTACCCGTGCGGTTCAAATAAACTCTCGGCACTCATTCCATCTGCAGTAACTTACACTGAAGCTCTGCGTCCAGGCTGCTCCACCACTGCCTGCTTTCAGGAGTTCACCTCCCTCGTTTGAAAGCAATTAGTTGCAAACCCAAGGGCTTGTTGGATGGTGGAAGAGCGTCTGAAACCTATTCATCATTCGTCACCTTTTGTATATACAAACAATGCAAATGGAAGCTCAACAGTGAGGCCCAAAGCAAAACAAACTAAGGTCAAATATAAACCCTGATAAAACAATAAATACATAAAACAAATCATTCACGTTGGCAGATCACGTGAAAAACAGTGTGACTCATCGTTTCTCTCTCAATAACTCCACATCCCCCCGTAATAATCCTGTTTCATGTAACCTGTTACCTGCTGACCCCTGAAGGCCACACAGTCAGGACTCCGGTAGTACCGGGGCAGCGGAGCAAGAGGGAGCGCTGCCAGGTCCCGATGTTCTGTGTTTTGATTAGCAGTGTTAGCTTCAGCTAAGTCCCCCTGTGCAGGAGGCTGGAGGCAGGATTTAAAGACATGCGCAGACAGCCTGGGAACGTGTGTGTGTGTGTGTGTTGGCTCGTATCTCCGATAATCACCTGAGAGTAGAGAACATCTCTTTATGAGAGGTTGGAGTCACATGGGCAGATGAGGCTTAGCAGGAGAGAGGAGGAAGAGCAGGGAGTTAAAGAAAGCAGAGGGGAGGAAACTGAAAGCAGTTGAAGTGGCTGGAGGCTTGTGTTCACATGTCCTATCACCAATACCATGGCTGTCATTTAAATAAGTTTCAATCGCACCTTGACATGGACTTACTTAAAGCAAGTTTATGTATTGCATGATGTACGCATGATGTTCAAAGTGCGACACTCACAGATCGTTTTGTTCCCGTTCAGAGCGACGGTAAGGTCGAAACATTGTGCCTCAGTTTGGTCAGAGGCTCAGACTGAACTGCTTTTAGCTTTATGGGTGGATGACAACATGTAATATGGCTTCACTGCTGGATATAAAGAAAGACAGGGGTTGCCTTTGTGTTTACATAGAGTCCTCATAGTTTCCACAGCACGAATGCAACTTCATCATCAGCGACACATGATCCACAGCTGTGGGCTATAACTTATAAAGAGTAAAACTAATGCCAACGGATTACAGCGGTGTGCTGATTAGTTTTGTCGACCAAACTGTTGGTGGTTTTGTTGACTCAACCTAACTGTTGGTGGTTTTGTTGCCGAAACCTAACTGTTGGTGGTTTTGTTGCCTAAACCAAACTGTTGGTGGTTTTGTTGCCTAAACCAAACTGTTGGTGGTTTTGTTGACTCAACCTAACTGTTGGTGGTTTTGGTGAATCAACCTAACTGTTGGTGGTTTTGTTGACTAAACCTAACTGTTGGTGGTTTTGTTGCCGAAACCTAACTGTTGGTGGTTTTGTTGCCTAAACCAAACTGTTGGCGGTTTTGTTGACTAAACCTAACTGTTGGTGGTTTTGTTGCCTAAACCAAACTGTTGGCGGTTTTGTTGACTAAACCTAACTGTTGGCGGTTTTGTTGACTCAACCTAACTGTTGGTGGTTTTGTTGCCTAAACCAAACTGTTGGTGGTTTTAATGCTTAAACCTAAATGTTTGCTTTATTCTTTTTTTAATTAATTTTGCAAGTAATAACATAATCAAACTGTTGTCTTAGTGTGTTTGAATCAAAATAGTTAAATCTGAGTTAATTGGATTTAAAAATCACTTTGAACAATGTGAACATCATGAAACATGAATTAATATTAATTCAGAGCTGTTGCTGCCAGTAAGCATTGGTCGGGTAACACACCATGACTGTGGAGGACGTCTGTGTTCAGTCATGAATCTGTTCATGTCGCAACAACGCAGGACGGACGCAGACACACAAAGCTCGACTCCCTGAACGCTCTGCAGCCCTGAGCCACTTGTGCTTCATAAACAGCACTTCGAGTATGTGAGAAGAGCATTAGCGGTAAAAGCCGGTGGACGTCACTGTGGTGATGACTGAAGGGGACATTGTGTAGGATGGTAATATTTACTGTGTGTGGGTGTCGGGTCACGCAGGGACTTCGTGGAAACAGACTATCGAGGGAGACAAACTGGATTGTTTTCTTTAATGTCAAACCACACGTGACCGTGTTTGTGTGATGAACTCACCTCGCTCTTTCTTTTCCTTTGAGAAGGAGTCAAACTTCCTGCGTAGAGATTTTCGCCGTTTGTGTATTTCTGTGAGAGAGAAAAAGAGAAGAGATAAAAGTCACCATGAATAAAATGATTAGAGACGCTGAAGAGCATGTGAACAATGAAGACTGTGTGTTCAGAGAAGTCTGTGTCGCATACGTGTTTCCACGAGGATCGCAACACAAACGCTCTTATCGGCCTTAAAATAACTTAACACACTGAATCATCACTTCTCTCCCTGAAACACAAACACCGCCCTCATTGCGACCTTCCTCGCTTTCCTCTCCTCGTTCCCTTATGATCTTTCCTCCCGAGTGGTTCCACCTCATCCTCCGCTCTAACAATAGAGCCGACTCTCAACAGACCTGGTTGTTTGTTTGATTAGCCCCTTTGCTCACGACTGCACGGCACCAAACGTGGATTTTATACATGTGGGAGGAAAATGAATAGCCGTTAGTTAGGTGAAAACGACACTTTAAATATTTTCACTGTAAAATTACAGCAATCTACCGGCAGCAGTGTCTCTCTACTGTATCAAAAGAATACAGCAACATACTGCAATCAAAGCATCCAGTAATTTACTGTAATTATTCAAACATGACTATATTTTTCTGGCAGCAGTTTCACCAGCAAGACTTTTACAGAAATATACAGCATCTCTACTGCATCGAAGAATTACAGTAACTTATTGTAATCAAAATGTACAGAAATTTGACAACAATAGAAAGACGTGAAAAATAAAAACTTTCCCCTTTTGGGAGATGGGGTTTGTCGGACGTGTGGTGCATTCCTGCATCCTTTATGTTTGTTCTCCAAATTCCTGCGGATCACTAGCCAAACATTGACTTTAGTTGTAACAACATCGGAGTTTGATCTCAGAAAATGCAGCGGCTAACGTCGTGCAGCTTCTCTCCGGGTGGCTGTTTTACACGGACACCTCCTCCTCCTCCTCCTCCTCCTCCTCCTCCTCGAGTTCATGAGCAAGAAGCCATTGTTTAGGTTTCTCAATCTGGTGTTTAGAAATCACAAATTCAACACTGGGGTCTTTCCCCTTTTAGGGAACGATCGGAATTCCCTGCATCGCAAATAATGCAGTCTAGATTATTTGGGACTCTCTTTGCTTGTTTCCCTCCAAATCACTTAGAAACAGTAGAAAGTTAAAACAGTGAGAGGAAGAAAGAGTGTGTGTGTGTGTGTGTGTGTGTGTCTGTGTGTGTGTGTGTGTCTGTGTGTGCATGTCGGGATAAAAGGGTCAAATTCCCATGACTGCAGGAAATTAGAGTTTATTTCCAAAGCACACGGCCCCTCCCATCGCACACACACCACCTCCAGCTGAGGCTAATCCCTTCGCGTGTATGTGTGTGTTTGTGCACATGTATGCACTCACATTGTATGATTACATAACGCACGTTCACAGAGAGCTAGGACACACCGAGACGAATGCCTCCGACTAGAACTGATATTTTTCCTGCATTTTTGCATCATTTGTCGTTGGCAGAACGTTTCGGTTAAAGGCATCGTTTCAAATCGATCACAGCATCACAAATTGATATAAGAAGCTAGAACCAGAGAAACGTTGACATGTTTGCTTGAAAAACGCTATATTGTCAAAACAATAATTTTATCTTGAAAAAGAGGACCTTCCTGAACAAGTGGAGCTCAAGGGAAGAGAACCAACGCTAGGGAAACGTTGAAGACAGACAGAAGATCAAAGGAAGCAGAGAGCGAGTTAGTCTGGAGTCCCTGTAGAGACTCAGAGAGAGAGAGAGAGAGAGAGAGAGAGAGAGAGAGAGAGAGAGAGAGAGCATGAGAACGAACTCTCCCAAAAACACACCAAATAAGAGCAAATCTGTCCCGCAACCACTGACAGGTTTCACAAAGAATCCACCGGATCCTGCCAATGAAACCAAATACACTCGTGCACAGAAACACACACACAGGTGTATGCAATCATAGACACTCATGGAGGAAGTATTCCAGTCCTTTACTTGAGTACAAGTACTACAAATACGGTGGTACTACTGATGGGAATCTTTTACCTCTAAAGTACTTGTGTGGAAAAAAATTTCTATGCAAAATGTTCATTGGAGGACGACTATCGTCTCAAATGGTCCACAAATGAATCCAATCCTCACGTTTTCTGAGTGTATCTGTCAGACGCCATCAGCGCTCCAGTAATAAAGATGAAAAGACAACATCCAGTGGAAGCGGGGAATGTACGAGTGTGTGTGTTTTCTTGCGTTTTACAAGCTCTTTGGCCGGGTTTACGTGGGCTGAAGGTACATAAAGCTAGTGTTGTTTAAAATAACTAGGTACCAGGTATTTCTCCAAACAGGGAACACATGGGAACATCCCAACCCGCCCAGATGTGGAGATATTTCTGAATGTCTTGTTCCCTGAATTTCAACTTGCCTGCAATTTGCTTCTTGGTAATTCATAAGCCAAGACACCGCAGTGAGTGATCTACTTGTGTTTTCCCATGAATCTGAGTATGTGACTGAACCCCGGCCTGATGGGAAAAGAATTTACATTCATCCCTGAAGATGAAGAAAAGGAAGATGGCGAGAGAGGAACATTTCCCGAAAGTGAGGAGGGATGAGTAGAGTCTCACAGGATGCAAGTTGCTGAGTCTAAACCTTGTTTCCGTTTCTTACATTTATTCCCGCGAGACCATCGTGAGGTTTTATTCATGCCATGTGGCGGCTGCGTAAACAGACTGATGTCCTCACAACATGAGTAACACACGCTCACACAGGCTTAACATCCAGGACCTCCAACACTTTGAGTCCTATTAAGAAGCCAGTATTATGAGAGTATTAAATATGACAGAACAATCTAATCGGATTATTAAAAGGTATTAATGCATTGGGAATACATACTGAAGGAGCAAAGGTAACAAAAGTGTACTAAGTAATGTACTAAGAAGTGCAGCAAGAGGAAGCGGAGAAGAAGACTGCAAAGCTCACAAACATAAATGTAATGAGCTTCACTGTTCGACTGGGCCTGAATTCAGCAGCGTGGTCAAAGGTTAATAACTCTGAGAGAGAACAGTGGAGTCTGAGAACAGCAGCTTACAGGCTGGTCTCTCAGGAGAACGGCTGTACGGACAAACCGCACACAACAACAACACAACACTTCTACTATCAGACGCTTCTTGTGATCCTCCCGACCTCAGCCATTTCTCCATCCCAACAAACACCAGATTAAAAAAAAAATCACAGTTTCTGGTGAAACCAGATGAACTCATGCAGGTTCACCAGAACCTCCTTCAGCTCAGACTCCAGCAGAGACCGGTTCACTGTGGACAGACCCAGATCCTCCAGCAGAGACCGGTCCACTGTGGACAGACCCAGATCCTCCAGCAGAGACCAGTCCACCACGGACAGACCCAGATCCGGCTTCACCTGCAGCCTTGGACCTGCAGTTGGAGCTCCGGAGGGAGGAGGAGAGCTCAGCTCCCGGTAGCAGCAGCGTCTCCTCCTCCTCCAGGAGCAGCTGCTGGAGACCCAGGACGTATTTGTTTGTTTTATTAAATATCCTTCCTAATCCAACAAATATCCAACCTTCACCAATATCAGCCAGTAAGTATCTTAAGAGGAGAAAGCTAAGGCAAAAAGACATTCCTGAGAAGCAGCGCTCGTTAAGCTTATTGCTTCGGGTACTTTGCAATAACGTGATGTTGCCTCGAGAGACTTTAGAGAGAAAATAAATCTGGAACAAAAGGAAAGAAACTAGATATTGAAAAGTAAGAGAAACATTTTCATGACGGAAATCTGGACAAATTCAAAGTGATGCTGAAGTTTGAGCTCATTGTGAAATGCAGTGATTGTAATCTGCAACAAATTGAAGATTAAACGTGTGACACTGACTCTTTCCACTTCCTTATGGAGACTAAAGTCTTCTTGTGTGGTCTCTCGCTTTTAGCGAGAGACCACTTTTAGCGACTGTTTGAAAAGTAAGCAATAATAAATGTCTTCAACAAGCTCGGCTGGAAGAAATAAAAGTTTTTTGGCTGCAGCTCCTCTTGAGATTATTCTTGTGTCCACAGGAGGCAGAGAGACGACATCAAGGAGCCTTTTTTAAACTCTCCTCGTCAGAAAAACAACATCATCTGATCTGATATCAATCAATCAAGCAAAGCAGGTTTGCGTATTCACCTCTTGACCTTTTTTAAGGTTGACCTGAATTCATTCCGACACGATGTGAAAGTCTTGAGACATGCCTGTGTTTGCTAAGATTGCATTCACAACCTGTGAAAACATTTTTTGGTACCTCTCGGGATGCTGATCTTGAAGTCCAGGTCCCTCTCCTCCAGGTGGTACAGGGCCACCTCCTGTAGCCTGGCCCGCTCCAGCTCCGACAGGCTCTGGATGGGCACCGGCTGCAACCGCACACTCTGACCCAACATGGTCGCCCACGTGTGGTCGCCCTGCAGAGACGAGAGAGAGAGACGATTATCAAAATGGTCCACAATCTAACCAAAAAACCCAAAAGCTTTTAGGATGAAGTGGAAATCTCTAAATGTTAGCAACCGACCACCAAGTACTCGTAGATAAAACATCAGAGTTACCACGTTGTAGTCAGAGTTAATGTCCCTGATTTAATCTATTGTTATTATTACAATCGGTTTATTTTTAGCTTACCCATCTTTGTCTGTTATCCTTCAGATTTCAGTGCTCTGAACGCTAATTTAAGTCTCTACAGCCACAACTTTCCTATTTAAAAAGGTGATAATGCAGTTATTATATTTTTAAACATATGTTTCTAAACATCAGTTTATAGTTGCGTATCTATTTTTCATCAAGCCGAAGAAGGCAGTGGGATTTGGTCAAAACCTCAGGGATGAAGCTCACACACTCCCATGCTCCATTGTTTGACTGCCGGGCTCCGGGGTCGACTAAAACGCTGCCACGCAACACACAACACACATGAATAGAAAAGAACAGTTAGTCCAGGAAAACATTCTCAAATAGTCCCGAGAGGAACGTTTCTTCGTCTGCGGTCCGAAGCGGATTCTTTCTTTAGTGGCTTCTATTAAAGAAATACTTTGTTCTGAGTGGAGACTTTTATCTGAACAGTGGAGATGCTTGGATTGGCTGAGCTCCAGCTCGTAATGTTTGGGAGACTAGATGTGTTGGAGCTGAGCCGGATTCAAACATGACCCAGCTTCTAATTCTGTTTCAACTTCCAAAGTTATAGTTTAGGATTTATTTGTTCTGCTACAAAGAATGAGTCTCCCATCAGTGCTGCAAGTACAAAACTTCAATGCTTCAAGGTAACAGGACGGAGTGAAGAGGAGTCAAAGAGACCCAACGAGAGG